TTTTCCTCTGCTCTGTGCTAGCGGCTTACGTTGTGTTCTTCTCTGGACTGCTGTTGGGCTGTATTTATACAGTGGATTAAATCTGCTTTAGTCCTATTTGTCTTAAAATGTTATAGTATTATGTGATAAAAATATATAGATATGTTCCTGCTCATTTGAATGTATCTGCTTGTGTTTGAATCGCTGCTTGGCTGTGATTGGTCCGTTTAAAAGATGCATGTGTGTGTGTGTGCACTTGTGTAGGTGGTGTTGCTGGTGTTTGGTAAAATGTATTTTTAACCTGCTTTAGTCCTGCTTTAGTCCTATTTGTCTTAAAATGTTATAGTATTATGTGATAAAAATATATAGATATGTTCCTGCTCATTTGAATGTATCTGCTTGTTTGAATCGCTGCTTTGCTGTGATTGGTCCGTTTAAAAGATGCATGTGTGTGTGTGTGTGCAGACTGTGTAGGTGATGTTGCTGGTGTTTGGTAAAATGTATTTTTAACCTGCTTTAGTCCTGCTTTAGTCCTATTTGTCTTAAAATGTTATAGTATTATGTGATAAAAATATATAGATATGTTCCTGCTCATTTGAATGTATCTGCTTGTGTTTGAATCGCTGCTTTGCTGTGATTGGTCCGTTTAAAAGATGCATGTGTGTGTGTGCAGACTAGGCACTTGTGATGTTGGTGGTGTTTGTGGTAAAAAAAAATTTGTTTGGAACCTGCTTTGGTCCTACTTTAGTCCTGCTTTAGTCCTATTTGTCTGTAAATGTTATAGTATTATGTGATAAAAATATATAGATATGTTCCTGCTCATTTGAATGAATCTGCTTGTGTTTGAATCGCTGCTTGGCTGTGATTGGTCCGTTTAAAAGATGCATGTGTGTGTGTGCAGACTAGGCACTTGTGATGTTGGTGGTGTTTGTGGTAAAAAAAAATTTGTTTGGAACCTGCTTTGGTCCTACTTTAGTCCTGCTTTAGTCCTATTTGTCTGTAAATATTCTAGTAATGTTTTTTATATTATTTAAATAAGGGTTGTGTGTGTGTAAGATGGCGTCTATGTCAGTCCTGGTTAAGAGTGTGCAATTAAAGCTGGTATACATAAATTAACTAACGTTAAGTATTTTTTGTGAGATATAAACATTTAATTTAATATCTTTACAGATATTAATATTATTCATGTAATGTCTATGTATAACTTAAAGATAAAGCTTTAACATGTCTGCCAAATGTAATATTGAAAATATCAAAAAGGCTTTATTGCATGTTTTTTCAATATTTCATGGATGCAGCCATTTTGTCTGCAAGGAGCTGGCCATGGCAGCTCAGAATTAATTTAAAACAGGTTTTTATAATCTGCTTTAGTCCTGCTTTAGACCTGCTTTAGACCTGCTTTAGACCTGCTTTAGTCCTGCTTTAGACCTGCTTTAGACCTGCTTTAGACCTGCTTTGGTCCTACTTTAGTCCTGCTTTAGACCTGCTTTAGACCTGCTTTAGACCTGCTTTAGACCTGCTTTAGACCTGCTTTAGACCTGCTTTAGACCTGCTTTAGTCCTGCTTTAGTCCTGCTTTAGACCTGCTTTAGACCTGCTTTAGACCTGCTTTAGACCTGCTTTAGTCCTGCTTTAGACCTGCTTTAGTCCTGCTTTAGTCCTGCTTTAGACCTGCTTTAGTCCTGCTTTAGACCTGCTTTAGACCTGCTTTAGTCCTGCTTTAGACCTGCTTTAGACCTGCTTTAGTCCTGCTTTAGACCTGCTTTAGACCTGCTTTAGACCTGCTTTAGACCTGCTTTAGTCCTGCTTTAGACCTGCTTTAGACCTGCTTTAGACCTGCTTTAGACCTGCTTTAGACCTGCTTTAGTCCTGCTTTAGACCTGCTTTAGTCCTGCTTTAGACCTGCTTTAGACCTGCTTTAGTCCTGCTTTAGACCTGCTTTAGACCTGCTTTAGTCCTGCTTTAGTCCTGCTTTAGTCCTGCTTTAGACCTGCTTTAGACCTGCTTTAGACCTGCTTTAGACCTGCTTTAGTCCTGCTTTAGTCCTGCTTTAGACCTGCTTTAGACCTGCTTTAGACCTGCTTTAGCCTGCTTTAGACCTGCTTTAGTCCTGCTTTAGTCCTGCTTTAGTCCTGCTTTAGACCTGCTTTAGACCTGCTTTAGACCTGCTTTAGTCCTGCTTTAGACCTGCTTTAGTCCTGCTTTAGTCCTGCTTTAGACCTGCTTTAGACCTGCTTTAGACCTGCTTTAGACCTGCTTTAGTCCTGCTTTAGACCTGCTTTAGACCTGCTTTAGACCTGCTTTAGACCTGCTTTAGACCTGCTTTAGACCTGCTTTAGACCTGCTTTAGACCTGCTTTAGTCCTGCTTTAGCCTGCTTTAGACCTGCTTTAGACCTGCTTTAGACCTGCTTTAGACCTGCTTTAGACCTGCTTTAGTCCTGCTTTAGTCCTGCTTTAGACCTGCTTTAGACCTGCTTTAGTCCTGCTTTAGACCTGCTTTAGACCTGCTTTAGCCTGCTTTAGTCCTGCTTTAGTCCTGCTTTAGCCTGCTTTAGACCTGCTTTAGCCTGCTTTAGCCTGCTTTAGTCCTGCTTTAGACCTGCTTTAGACCTGCTTTAGTCCTGCTTTAGCCTGCTTTAGTCCTGCTTTAGACCTGCTTTAGCTGCTTAGTCCTGCTTTAGACCTGCTTTAGACCTGCTTTAGACCTGCTTTAGTCCTGCTTTAGACCTGCTTTAGACCTGCTTTAGACCTGCTTAGCCTCTTTAGTCTGCTTTAGCTGTTTAGTCCTGCTTTAGTCCTGCTTTAGCCTGCTTTAGACCTGCTTTAGCCTGCTTTAGACCTGCTTTAGACCTGCTTTTCTTTAGTCCTGCTTTAGACCTGCTTTAGACCTGCTTTAGACCTGCTTTAGTCCTGCTTTAGCCTGCTTTAGTCCTGCTTTAGTCCTGCTTTAGCCTGCTTTAGACCTGCTTTAGACCTGCTTTAGACCTGCTTTAGCTGCTTTAGTCCTGCTTTAGACCTGCTTTAGACCTGCTTTAGACCTGCTTTAGACTGCTTTAGACCTGCTTTAGACCTGCTTTAGTCCTGCTTTAGACCTGCTTTAGACCTGCTTTAGACCTGCTTTAGACCTGCTTTAGACCTGCTTTAGACTGCTTTAGACCTGCTTTAGACCTGCTTTAGACCTGCTTTAGACCTGCTTTAGACCTGCTTTAGACCTGCTTTAGTCCTGCTTTAGTCCTGCTTTAGACCTGCTTTAGACCTGCTTTAGACCTGCTTTAGACCTGCTTTAGTCCTGCTTTAGACCTGCTTTAGACCTGCTTTAGACCTGCTTTAGCCTGCTTTAGTCCTGCTTTAGACCTGCTTTAGTCCTGCTTTAGTCCTGCTTTAGTCCTGCTTTAGACCTGCTTTAGACCTGCTTTAGACCTGCTTTAGCCTGCTTTAGTCCTGCTTTAGCCTGCTTTAGACCTGCTTTAGACCTGCTTTAGACCTGCTTTAGTCCTGCTTTAGACCTGCTTTAGACCTGCTTTAGTCCTGCTTTAGTCCTGCTTTAGACCTGCTTTAGACCTGCTTTAGACCTGCTTTAGACCTGCTTTAGACCTGCTTTAGACCTGCTTTAGACCTGCTTTAGTCCTGCTTTAGACCTGCTTTAGACCTGCTTTAGTCCTGCTTTAGTCCTGCTTTAGACCTGCTTTAGACCTGCTTTAGTCCTGTTCGGTCCTGCTTGTGACCTGCTTTAGTCCTGCTTTAGTCCTGTTCGGTCCTGCTTGTGACCTGCTTTAGTCCTGCTTTAGTCCTGTTCGGTCCTGCTTTAGTCCTGTTCGGTCCTGCTTTAGTCCTGCTTTAGTCCTGCTTGTGACCTGCTTTAGACCTGCTTTAGTCCTGCTTTAGTCCTGCTTCAGACCTGCTTTAGTCCTGCTTTAGTCCTGTTCGGTCCTGCTTGTGACCTGCTGTTTCAGACCTCAGTGTGTGTTCTCTGCAGTGTGTATAATATTAAATCTGTGATAGCTGCATGTTCATAAATATTCCATAGTGTTTGTGGTGATCACTAATTTCATGTAATGGAAACAATACAGTGTCATGTATTAGTCTTATAATGATGCCTGCTCCTTGAAACCAAGATGGCCGCCTCCATGAGAGATGGAGTATGGAGTCAAAAGACTGACGTATTACCTTTTATATTAACATGTTTAAGTATGTTTAAAGTGATACATGGTAATGTATAGATTTAATGTAATTAAACATATTAATGTTATTGAATTCATTTGTCTGTGTCACAAAATACTTTAGCATGCATACCTAATGTAATACATCATATTCTGATCACCAAACTTTCACTGCAATGGATGTTTTTAATATTACATATTTCATGGAGGCTGCCATCTTTTCTGTGACGAGCTGAGACATGTTCATTTAGAAGTTTGATCTGATTGGTCCATTTGAAAGATTGTGCTTTTTTATTTTATTATCTTTTTTAGACCTAGTTGTTTCCTCAGTTTCACATGTGACCCATGGTGTTTGTGTCCTGGTTCAGACCTGGTTTTGTTTCAGTCCAGGTCATAGTGTGTGGTCTTGAATGAAAGCAGGGGGGCTTGTTATTTTCTTTTGATTTAAATGGTTTTAAGTCCTCTGAGACTGTTGTGGTTTAGGGCTATACAAGAATACATTGAATAGTTTTTTTTCACTAGTAACATGATAGTATTAAGTCCAAGCTTTAGACCTGCTGTAGATATGCTATGGTCATGAATGTCATTTTGGACTTTCTGTTGGTCTTTTAGATCAGCTTTTTCAGTGGAAAATAGATAACTAACTCTCACTCAGCCAATTAGCTGTCAGTATGTAGAAGATACATTTTTGTTACTTTAAACTGAGTCATATTTGACTGGCTTTAAAGTCATATTTATAGTATTTATAAGTAATATAGTTGATGATAGTGTACACTGCTTCTGCCCATCTGCTGTCTATAGCTGTTGATTGAATGATTGAAACATTTGATTTGTTTGTTAACTTGTCACTGGTGCTTTCAGATGCCCAGGAAGCCTGGCTGGAAGCGCTCCGAGGCCACGGCCCGGCGCTGGGAGCACAAGCTAGACTTGTCCTGGCGGGGAGTGGATGAGCTGGCCTCTTCTGGGCTAGCTGTTCAGGTTCCTCGTCATGAGCAATGCCCTGAGCCGACCACTCGTATGTTTAATCTTTAAACTTATTCACTTTTCCATCTGTCGCTGCAACATTATTTGTATAATTTGCTGTTCATAGGCCTTGGTCTTGGTTCTCGGCATTCTGTGAAGAAGCAGAACTGGCCCACTTCGTCGTACGTCGACAAGCCTTGTAAGTGGGTCGTTCCGCCAGTGTTTCCGGACAAAAAGGTATGTCCCAAAACATTAGTTTTTAAATATGAAATGTTTTTACTTTCTTTGAATACACTTTTTTTCTCATCAACAGTTTGCATTTGTCCTTGGAAACTCCCATCTGCGTGCGATCGTAGATGGGTTCGTGCCGATGCCAGAAGACGGTTTTTCTTTTGGCTTCTGCTCCATACCCGGTGGTTCTGCCCGGGACATATGCAAGGAGCTGTCTTCACAAATGGCTTGTGAAGACCCACCACTTCAGAGGGAGCCAGACGTCGTGTGTCTCCTCGCTCCTTGCAACAACCTAACAGCCAGCAAGACGGTTACAGAGGCTGCATCAGAGTTCGCCCGACTCCTCGACGTAGTGTGCAGCCGCTGGCAAGAGGTCTCAGCATGTTTCTGTTTAAAGTCATTTTATTATAATGGTTCCTTAGACAGTATATTCATTCTGTAACGTTTCACATAGGTCTGTGTTCTGGATTTTCCACCTCGTCTGACAGTAGAGGTGGAGCTCCAACAGGCCCTTAGGGAGGAGTACCGCCGTGTGGCAGCTCGCAGGGGTAAGTAGAATATAATGTATTGGCTTCAAAGTGTGAGTTTTCAGATGTCAATGTGCCCTAAAACAGCTCTGTATCTGGCTGTTTTCACAGAAATCCGCTACTTTCCTGTGGCTGAGCACTTCCGGATGGACAAACTCCGGTTGTGGTGCTGGGATGGTGTAAGTAAAAGTTTACATCACAATCTATACAGCAGGGCAAACAAGGTGCAGTGATCTTGGGCCACATTATGGGCTACATTTATCACATGTTTGTGTGTGCAGCATGTATGGAGGACCACAACTGTCAAAGTAATAACAAATGAATATATAAATGTCACATGTCACAATCTGCAAATATTTATTGAGATAACACTGCAAATGATATTTAAAAAAATATATATATATACATTATTGAGGCGACAGTAGCTCAGTTGGTAGAGCAGTGGCCTTTGAGCCTGGAGGTCGTGAGTTCGATTCCCACCATGGGACCTACTCCAACTGCTCCCACTGATGTCTACTGTCGTTGTGTCCTTGGGCAAGACACTTAACCCCACGTTGCCTGAAGCCCCCCTGACAGAGCAGCCATCTTCCTGTGGACTCACCCCCTGCAGAGGATCAGAGGGACTGGTGCTATGAGCATTGGGTGGCAGCTCTCATTGACACCCCCCTGACCCAGAAATGGACAATAAAGGGCTTGAAAATGAATGAATATACATTATTATTGTACAACAATGAAGCTTTATTATTTAGTTTTGAGCCAAAAAACGTTGTAAACGTTTAGAACGTTGAATAATATGTATTTATTAAATCTCATCATTTGTGTTATCTCAACATATTTTTGCAGATAGTGACATTTATTCATTATTTTTTTCTTTGACATTTTTGGTCCTCCATATGCATGAGTACATGACAGTACATATAAATATACAGCTATCTCTTAAATTGCCTCATTTCTCAACAGTAGAGAAAGTAAACCTTTATACTTGTAGATCACAGATGAAAACAGGAAATATATCATTTATAGCTCATTAGCATCTGTGACTTTTCCTAATTATACATAATCATACTAATAGGATTATATTTTAGATATTAGTGAAGCTGACATGCATATACAGTATGTCAGCTTTAAAGGGGTCAACATTGAATGTGTTTAATTCAATACATAGTTTATACATAATACACTTTCGAAAGTATTAGCACTATTTATTTCAAAGACACTTTTAGATATATAATTACAAGTCTTATTTCAAATTAGCTCACCTAGCTTAACCACTTGTTAAAATCCTTTTGATACTAATCTTTCTCTTTGCTATAGGTCCATCTGAGTGACAATCATGGGATGGGGGTCTACGCTAATCTGCTGCAGCAGGCGTGCTACCAGCAGCTTGAAGGGAAGGTTCCTACCGTTGTGGTTCCTCCCTCCCCATCCAAACCGTACACCTGGAGGTATAAGCCAAGAGTGGTTGTGGCTGGCCCTGAGCCTTCGCCACGCCCACCCCCTCCTGAGTGGACAGTTATTGGACAAGGCCGAGAGGTGACGACACTTTTATAATTACATTTATAATATTATATTATATAATTGTGAAATAAACTCATGGATAAGTTTGTGGGACCAGGAAGTATAATCACAAAAAAATACAATTTTGTACTTTTTGTCTACGCTAACTACCACTTCTTTCCTGTAATTTAAAGACTCTGTTGAATGTATAAGCAGAGAGAGAATATATTGTTTCCTGGTTGAACAAAATGTACTCTAGATTGGTTAAAGTTGTATCCTTAAAGGGGTAAAATTACAAAAACTAGGATGTAACTGTTTCCAAGGTGTTTGTCTCCATCAGGATTATTTACTTGTATTTTTTTTCCTGTCACAGTTAGATCATAGTTTTCAGTGAAAGAGTGTATTAGCCCTCACTTAACTAGAACAAATTTGGATCTTGTTTTTCTACTGAATGTTTCTTAATCAAGGGTGTTTATGTTGAGACAAACACAATTATTTATGAAACCAAAATAAAGTTGGGTACTCCAGCTTTAAGAAGCCTCCTATTACTGGTGCTGTCATTTGAGTTCATGTGAAGAAGGTTAAGATTTAGAGGTGAGAGGTGGATCCATGTTTTGAAAGGTTCCCTGTCTCAAATGTGTGCAGTTAATGCAGTTATTGCAAACAGGAGTACAGTCAGTCATGTTATTCATATTTATGTTACAGAGGAATCAGCCAAGGGCCTCTACGCACACCCAGAGATTTCCCAGAGGTCCACGGCTGGTTCAACCGGTGAGGAACGCGCCAATCCTACCGCTTTCGCCTACAATGTTCAGCGAGGCCAATATGCTCAAGGTGGAAAAGGTCTATCCATCTTGTCTGGACTCTACTTCGTCAACAGAAGAGGTATTTTGATTTCATGTTGACTCTACAATAAATATGATAATGTAGAAATGTTAAATGTATTATCTTTTTCTATTGAAAGACTCCTCCCCCGAGGAGTCGCAAACCTGCTGCCCGACAGAGAAGGCACAGACGCCCGAGGGTGGCCAGGGCAGCAGCTGGAGAAGTGACCTACTCATCACTTCTCACTGAACAGCCCGGGATAGAGAAGCAGACGGTGAGACATCGAAATAACAATTCTGGTCTTTTAGGTGTTAGCCCTGATTAGAAAAGGATATAGTCCATTTTGAAGCCTTGGTCCTGCTCCAATTGAAAACTAAAACGGTCATTCAGCTACAGCTGCAATCTGGGTATATCTTGAAGTCTCATCTCGGGTGAAAAGTTCTACATAGTTAAAAGTGAGCTGTAACATTATGAATATACTGCATCAGAACCCAGTGTGCAGTCGTCACAGTAGTCTAACCTACAGGAGACAAATGCAGGAGAAGAGTCTGCTCTAGACACCATTTTTGTTTCTTGTCATGTTTTTCGGTTAAAAACCTGTTGCTGTTGTTAATTTCATCTGGTGATTATAATTAAAGTCCGACTCCAGTACCCATAGCTTTCTCACCCTATTTTTCCACACTAGATTATAACTGCATAAGCCGTGTACTTTCTTCCAGCTTCAGACTTCATTTATTCAAAAACTATTTTAATCTTTTGCAGCCTGTGGAAGTGAGGCTCCGCCCCTCATTTCCTCGCTTCTTGTATTCCGGCCGGAGAGCAATGGGGAGGGAACGGGCGGAGACGAGGGAGAGAAGCCGCTCACCTCATCCCCCCCCACTTGCGGATGAGATCGAATGGCCTCGACTCATCGCCTCCGAGTCTCCGATGGCAGTGACAAGCCAGTCACCTGTCATGACCACACCGGAGATATTGGAGGAAAACGTTAGCATGGCCATATCACCCGCTGTCTCTAGGAGCCGACGCTCCCAGCGTCGGGTAAGATTTACTTTGGATTGTCTGGTTTTTGCCATTTGTATTCAAGAAATCTAATGCATCCTTCTCTCAATAGGCAGAGACAGCAAAGCTGGAGACAGGGAGACCCGGCTCAGCTGTCTGCAGCCTAGCACTGATGGACGTGGAGGTGGTATGTTACATACATGCTACTATTTTCTCATCACCATTCACCATTTTCCTGAAGCAAACTGCTTTGAAACTTTGCTTCTGAGCATTTATCAAAACAGCCATGTGACAAGCCAGTAGAAAAAGGAGCTCTGTGGTTTAAATGATCCAAAATGATAAAATAAATTAAGGAGCTAGTAAGCCAAAAAAGGTCATTTGTAACGCTGACATCTAGTGGACAAATGTAATCATAACAACTTCTGAGTAGCAGTAGTTTAACAGTTGTATTCAATGACACCTTCTGACACAACTATAACACAAGACAGTTATAAAAATGTTTTAAGGAATCCTTAAATGAATAAGAACATGTGTATTCATCCAAAAACATTAAAAGAAAAAAACTGCAGGTTTTTCATGAGAAAAGAAAACAAAAGAAGAAGAAGAAGGAACAGGGAAGAAGAAAGAAGGTGAAGAAGAGGAAGATAAAGGAGGATAAATATTAAGGAAAGAAGAAGAGGGAGAAGAGGAATAAGAAGGTGAAGGAGGAAGAAGAAGATGAAGATGAAGAAGCAGAAGATGGAGGAGGAGGAGGAAGGAAGATGAAGAAGGAGGAGGAAGATGAAGAAGAAGATGAAGAAGATGAAGATGAAGAAAGAAGAATGTGTTGTAAGGTTCTGAATGTGTTGGAAAGTGCAGAGAAGAAAGAAGGAGGAAGAGGGAAGAATATGTTTTAAAGTGGTTCTCACCCCCTCTCCTCGAGGCCTACGCCACTCACATTTCCTGTTCAAATCTCCCTCCAAATGGGCGTGGCCTGGACAGTCGGGGGGGGGGGGGGGTGAACGAGACTGGGCCGTTTATATATGAGAGCGGTGGGGCTGCTGACGTAACGAGCCACTGCAGACGAAACGAGCCACTGCTGCGGCCAATGCTGGCGCCAGATTCAAAATTCACATTTAGTAATACAGGTCGCCAGGAGATGGCGCCACACAGACGGTTTTTGGCAAAAGTGGATCTTTCAACCAAATTGCACCAAAGCCACAAAAGTGACACAATTATGACCAGGATATGTACACAACACTATTGGACACTCATTTATACAGTTCATCAGCAAAATCAGATTTGAGGGTGAGTTGTCCTTTAAGGTTGTGTGCGGACATGCCGCTAACCGGGGGTTGGAACCACTGGTGTAAACTATGCAAATAAACATTGTAATATGTTGTATTCACATTACTTTTATTGTTATGATTATTTGTTTGTAATAAAGCCTGCTATTTGTAATGTATTAGTGGCTTACGTTCATGCTTCAATTAAAAGTATTCCCACACAAATTAAGTAACAAGCAACTTTTATTCAAATGGTTAGGTTAAAGCAGTCTGCAGGAGGGGGCAGGAGTGGGAGAAGGAGGGGGCAGCTAAGAGGGGCTTATGGCCGAGGTCGGTTGGGGAACAGGGTGGATGAAGGTGTATGACACAATTTCCTCCCCTGACACTTCTGCCTCCATTCTAAAAGGCACCTTCACGTCGCCTTCTCTCCAGAGCTCCTGTTTCATAGTGTACAATTTTGTACCATCGCTAAATAGCATTTTTTGGCCACGTTTGACCATGCCCAGTACTTGTACATCTACCCGTGATGGAGAATGGATCTGAAATTATAGAAACATCTTCAATTAACTCAAATAATTGTCATGAAGGTAGATGCATACAAAATATGTGGGCATGTGTGTGGGTATGTGTGTGTGTGTGTGTTTGTGTGACAGAGAGAGTTGTACGTGGGAGGTGTGTGTGTAAGTAAGTAAGTAAGTAAGCTTTATTTATATACCGCCTTTCACAGACCAGAGTCACAAAGCGGTTTACAATTGTTATTTTTTGGGCACTTGTCCTCTCACTCCACACAGAGATGGGAGCGGGGTCGCCGAACAGGAGGCGCATGCCAGACCTATTGTACATATTTTTAGTGGCAGGGGAAACCGGAGTACCCGGAGGAAACCTACGCAGACACGGGGAGAACATGCAAACTCCACTCAGAAAGGCCCTGGTCCGGCCGGGATTCGAACCCAGGACCTTCTTGCTGAGAGGCGAGAGTGCTATCCACTCAGCCACCGTGCCGCCCGTGTGACAGAGAGAGGTGTTAGAGGGAGGTGTGTGTGTGTTTGTGTGACAGAGAGAGGTGTACGTGGGAGGTGTGTGTGTTTGTGTGACAGAGAGAGGTGTACGTGGGAGTTGTGTGTGTTTGTGTGACAGAGAGAGGTGTACATGGGAGGTGTGTGTGTTTGTGTGACAGAGAGGTGTATGTGGGAGGTGTGTGTTTGTGTGACAGAGAGAGGTGTACGTGGGAGGTGTGTGTGTTTGTGTGACAGAGAGGTGTACATGGGAGGTGTGTGTGTTTGTGTGATAGAAAGAGGTGTACGTGGGAGGTGTTTGTGTGACAGAGAGATGTTAGAGCAAGGTGTGTGTGTTTGTGTGACAGAGAGAGGTTTGTATGACAGAGAGAGAGGTGCTAGAGCAAGTTGTGTGTGACAGAGAGAGGTGTGTGTTTGTGTGACAGAGAGAGGTGTAAGTGGGAGGTTTGTGTGACAGAGAGAGATGTTAGAGCAAGGTGTGTGTGGGAAAGAGTAAGGTGTGTGTGTGACAGTAAGGTGTGTGTGTGACAGAGTGAGGTGTGTGTCTTTGTGATAGAGAGAGGTGTTAGAGCGAGGTGTGCTACTGTCTGTGTGTGTTTGTGTGTGAGCATACTGTGAACAGTGTTTTGTGTCAATATTGTTTGTCTGTAGTTTGTCACTTACTGTAATATTTGAGTATATTGATGACCCATATCTGTACCCAAAATCAGACGCCTCTCCTCTCACATGGGTGCATGTTATTTGTGCTCCAATATTTAGATTGTTTAATGTGGATTCTCGCCACAACGTAAGACATTTTGTGACACCTTTCTAAAATTAAAAAACCACAATATGACCAAACATACATTTACACACACATTGAATATACATATACACACACGGGGGAATAAACTTACTGAAGCAATTTTAATTAGTCTTAATGGCACTGATTTCCCTCTTACAGTCACCATCCTTGTAGAAAATATCTGAAAATGAAGTAACATTTCAATACATTTTATGCATCCCTGCACATGCACACGCTCAAAAGTAAAAAAAAAAAAAAATCTCACTTCTGTGATTGTACCACTTATGGTTAACCACCCCTCACCAATGTGGCCTATAGGTACCACTTCAGACGGTGGCTCCAGCAGAGATTTTCCAAGATTAACCATTTCCTCAGATATCTGAAAGTTAGAGAAGAAATAACACGTCACCATTCACTCTTTAATATAATATAGTGTTATTTACACTAATGTTTCATGTTTTAGAATGTAACATTTCTACAAATATTTACATTTGTTCTTAGTCTTCCTGTGTTTCTTTACAGGAATGATGTATATATTCTCTGTGTGTATATGCAGGTGTTTGTGAAGGATAGAACTAACCTCCATTGACACAGTCTCCATAATGTAGGTCTCCATTTTTAAGGCCAAATATTTCCCTCTGCCGCTGCCTTTCACAGTATAATCCCCAATTAAATACGTTTTTCCCACATCAAATTCTTTAGCCCTATTAGCGAAAACGTTCAAACTCTTCACAGTTTCACCGTCGCTGAGGGCCACAATTTTGTTTTTTTTAATTTGTGTGGCCTGCACAGAGGACCCATTGACCGACCACTGTGAAACAACATTTCTGTCCACTGAGTGGACAACCCTGAGGGTCAATTGAGGTAAATCCTCTTGATTCTCCATGTCAAATACATCCAACAATTTCATCTGAAAAAAAAAAAAAAAAACATTTGGAAAATAGCAACAAAGTGTGTGTGTCTGTGTGTGTGTGTGTGTGTGAGTATACTACACTATTCTAATCATAATATCTGATCTATTCGACTCATGAAGTTCTTTCTTTGCTGTTCCATATATTCACTGTCGACAGAAAACGGTATTGTTTGCATAATAGTCTTTTTCCAACGACAGTTTCTATGTAACGACACAAAGGTTGCAGAGTAATTAGCCCACTGTACAACACCTGCGCAACACTGGGCTGATTGGAACATTGGAACAGCTGTTCAAACCTTGCGCTGTCTCGTGACCAGAAGAAGAAATAGTTAAATTATTAAGTACATAATACTCTAGCATGTTGTTTCCCTTTAGTCTATAACATAGTAAGATAGTGTACATATTTATAAACTTAAGTTGCCATTAGTTGTTATAACTTGTTTGTAAGCATTTGTTAGCCTGCTTGCCGTGTGTCATGTGTCGTTCAATTAATTGTGGTTTCGTGCGTGAGAAATCTGAAGGCAAACACAATAATTCAACTTACTTTGACTGGAAATTTCAAGCTGTAATAACACAAAAGATAATGACTTATATAACAATGGAAATTTTATTTGAACATAAGAAAAAAGTCACTTACTTTTTACAGAATACAGGACTGTTGGGAGAGTGAAGGAAATAAACGTTTAGTGAAGTGTTCTTATGGTTTATGTATATGTAGATACATTTGTGCTATTATAAAATATTTACTATAATAAGTGTGTTTCTTACCTGCGCGGTGCTGTAGCTGCTGTCCTAATGCTGTGATGCCGTATAGCTGCGTAATAGCTGCTGCCGATTAATTAGTACAATGCGCAACACCTGCTACACCTTTCTCGTGATGCGTTCACAATTGATAAATAAAATATGAGGACATAATTCATGGAAAAAATATAAAATAATATTTGATATATTTTGATCTCATTGAAATCTTTTAATCGTAACAAAATTGCTCTCTTGAGATTACAAAATGTACATGCCAATACAATCAAACTATTATAATATAAATATGAATCCAACAATTGAACACACCACAACCAATTACATTCCTATTACACTATTACACTCACTGCTATTACACATAATGCGCTACACGGGAGTTTGTTTGCGTAGGGACCGTAGGGACATGTCTCCACCAATATTTTGGGAGGACTAAAGTGTCCTCACAAAAAAAAATGATGTCCCGGGCTGAATCCAGCGTCTCCAATTTGTCCCCGCGCCTCCTCCTCCCTTCCAGAGCAGCGGCAGCAGCAGCTATCTGCTATCTATCCCAATGCACTTTTTTGATATAATATGGGAGGCGGCCAAATATAGAAATAGCCAGTTCCTCTTTACCGTCTATAGATAAAGTGCGAGTGGCACCGCGTTCTGTAAAGCGATCAGTGAAACCGTGTAGCCCTATTCACATCTATACGTGTGGCTGCGGGGGTCTGGCTCATGGAACTCGCGGGGGCCTGAGGCCTCGGTTTTGGGTCTCATCTGGGTCCAGTACCACATAAGTCGCAAGAGAAGCACCCGTGGACCTCCACCCGTCCGCTCTGCAATTTTCGCTTGCAAGAAAGCAGACGAGCTGTACGCGCCAAAAATGATTATTCAAACATTCATTTCACAAAGATATGTGCCGCTGAAGAGTCCTGTTTGTGAGTGACGGAATTATCAATCAGCACGGAGAATTGCTGTGCGTTTTAAACAAATTTTAGATTCAAACAACGCAAGAATGATGCACTTTCCTCAATTTTAATAAATAAACCTGTAAGCCGCACTTAGACCAGGGCTGAGACCAAGGCCGAGACCAGTATATATTATATTATATATTATATATATTATGTTATATTATATCATATTATATATTATATATAATATATTTTTATATTTTTATATATATATATTATAATATCTGGAAGATGTGTAAGCTGCTAATAAGATAACAAACAACTAGGGTCATGTACCTCCCAGGGCCAATAGGTAGAGTTTTTGTATTTTTTATAAGTAATTTTGTACCCACTAAAATGAAACTAAACTGACACCATTGCTGCATTACACTCCTATATAACACTTTATTATAGCCCATTGATCTGGGCTAAGTGCACTCGAGGGCATTACAATCACTATTGATAGGGTAAACTCAAAAGGCCCCTACCACATGTAAACAGAGCACAAAGGAGTAAATCCAGACCCATGGACGAAATTAAGATTAAGATGAAGAGATCCTTTATTCGTCCCACAGTGGGGAAATGTCAGTGTTGCATCACAAGATATAGAACATTAGGAAACAGTAGCACACAGCACAAGGTAAGTGAACAATAGCTATACTCATTAAAATAAACAAAAACTGTAACTCAAGCATCAATAACAAGTATAAAATCTCTATATCTTGCAAATAATAAGAATAAAAGTGTAAAAGTTTTAAATTCGGCAAAATAAGAAGCAAGTATAAAGTACTGTGCATTCTAGTGCAAGCGATGTGTGGTTATATGTTAGCATCTGTACATTAGCAGCAGTATGTTTACATCTGTACATTAGCAGCAGTATGTTTACATCTGTACATTAGCAGCAGTATGTTTACATCTGTACATTAGCAGCAGTATGTTTACATCTGTACATTAGCAGCAGTATGTTTACATCTGCACATTAGCAGCAGTATGTTTACATCTGCACATTAGCAGCAGTATGTTTACATCTGTACATTAGCAGCAGTAGGTTTACATCTGCACATTAGCAGCAGTATGTTTACATCTGCACATTAGCAGCAGTATGTTTACATCTGCACATTAGCAGCAGTATGTTTACATCTGCACATTAGCAGCAGTATGTTTACATCTGTACATTAGCAGCAGTATGTTTACATCTGCACATTAGCAGCAGTATGTTTACATCTGTACATTAGCAGCAGTATGTTTACATCTGTACATTAGCAGCATGAGGCTCTGGGACAGTGGCTCAGTAAAGTGAAAGTGACATGTGACCTCATACAGGATTTGTATCGATTATAAATACAGTTTCAGTACCATTTTATATTGGAAAAGAACTGCTAATGGTTTCAAAATCTTTTTTTTGTTTCCCTCCAATCCCCCCAAATTGAGAAAAGACCATAGCAACGGCCTTAGAACCAAAGAGAAGACCAAACCAGTGCTTCACTCTCTGTGACGTCACACAGATCTGGAAGTACATATGTCCTCCATACTATCACGCTTGTTTGCATTTTGTCAGTCAATTACTATGCACTAAATTGGTGACTATTCAAGATGACAAGAAGTTTTTTTGCAATGCACTTCTCACAGACACACAATAGGCTTCAGACCAAAGCATCTTCTTCTCCTTTAATTAATATTATACATTAATACACATTAATTTAATTAAAACAGTAATAATAAAGTAACAATATATATACAGTAAATATATTACATACATACCATATACCATACGCCAGTATAGACACATAAACATATAGGATATCCCATCCTTGTTCCTAATCCAATCTTAGGCACTTCTTGGGACTTTAATGAGACGTGTCTTGGTTCTTGTTGGATCTATGATGAGGTGTGACAGTGGCACAATAATCAAAGCTTGTGCTTCACTGCAAAAAGGTCCTGGATTCAATTCACTTCCAGACGAAAGCTGTCTCTATGTAGTTGTTTCAAGTGCACCTCCGGATGAGGCTTTCTGTGCAGACTTTGTGTGGAGTTTACAATATCCATCAATTCAATGGAACATCTGTTTATTGATGGCATTCATGCTCACTGTGAACAGAGGGAATTGAAATTACTATATAGACCAAAGTATAAAGCACTTTGTTGAACATGCTCAACAAAGTGCTTTTTAAATAAAGATTGCTCACTTACTTGTATTTTGATAGTTTCTTGGTTCTTGATGTTATCTTATTTTATTTTATCCAGGCATATCTTGGTCCAGCTGGGTCTGTGGCGGAGTGTCTGTGATGCAATAGTTTTAGGTTTGCGCTCCATTGCAAGGTCCTGAATTCAATTCCACTTACAAAACTTTGTTTGAGAGTTTGTATATTTCCCTATGTGCCTTTATAGGTTTCATTTGGGAGCTCCAGTTCCCCCTACACAGCCATAGATTAAATTATCAAGCATTTTGTTTACTTTGGTAAATGAAATGTGCTAAATAAATAAAGATTACTTACATAATTGCTCACTTATTTGATCTTTGAGGATAATTCCTTGGATCTTGTCTGTGTCTTTCATGAGGCTTTCATGAGACAAGGGTAAACAGAAGTTTACCCTTGTGCTTTACAGCAAGGAAGACCAAGATTCAAATGAACGTCCAGATGAGGCTTTCTGTGCGGCCTTTGTGGGGATTTTTAAGTTTCCTCCAGGTGCTCAGGTCCCCCAATAAGTGTAACCATGTACAATATCCATGAATGTAATTGGAGCTTGGATGAGCATAGGGTCTGATGCGATATTTGTTTGGTAACGGCATTCAAATCACTGTGAAAGGAGGGAATTGTAATTATCATATAGAGCGCATTGGATACGTTTTAGATCTTGGTAAATAAAGATTGCTTACTTACTTGATTTAGATTAATATGTCTTGGTTGGGTATTTAATGTTGATGTCTTGGTTCCTGTTGGGTCTTTGAGGTGTGTCTTGGTTCTTGTTGGGTCTTTCATGAGGTGTGGCACTGGCACAGAGGTTAACCCTTGTGCTTCACAGCAAGCAAGTACAGAAGTCAATTGCACCTCCTGAAGAAGTTTTCTGTCCAGATGTTTTACCTGTGCCTTCTTAAGTTTCCTCCAGGTGCTCAGGTCTCACCTATCAGTATTACCCTGTACAATATCCATGAATGTAATGGGGTTGTTGATAGACAGAGAGTCTGAGGAAACATCTGTTTGTTGATGGCCTTCATCATAAAAGAGGGAATTGAAATTACTATAGCGATAAGTGAAAAGGATGCTTAAAGGATGTAAACAAAGGATGCTTACTTACTTGATTTTAGATATTTTTTTTAGGTTCTTGATGTGTTTTTGATTTAGGCAAGTCTTGGTTCTTGTGAGGTCTTTGATGAGACGTGTCTGTGGCACAATAGTTAAAGCTTGTGCTTCACTGCAAGATGGTCCTGGATTCAATTCCACTTTCAGACGAAACTTTCTGTGTGGAGTTTGTATAATTTTGTTTAGCTTGATCTGTGAAATGTGCTTTATGAATAAAGATTACTTACATAATTGCTCACTTATTTAATATTTTATGATAATGCCTTAGTTCTTGTTAGGTCTTTCATGAGGTGTGGCACAGAAGTTAACTCTTGTGCTTTACAGCAAGGAATTCCAAGATTCAGTTGAACCTCCAGATGAGACTTTCTGTGTGGACTGGTCTGGTAACAGCATTCATATCACTGTGAAAGGAGGGAATAGTAATTACCATATAAAGCATATTATATACCTTTGGTGACCTTGGTAAATAAATGTCGCTTTCTTACTTGATTCAGATAATAATGTCTTGGTTCTTGTTGGGTCTTTGAGGTGAGTCTTGGTTCTTGTTGGGTCTTTGAGGTGAGTCTTGGTCCTTGTTGGGTCTTTCAGGTGTGTCTTGGTTCTTGTTGGGTCTTTCAGGTGTGTCTTGGTTCTTGTTGGGTCTTTCAGGTGTGTCTTGGTTCTTGTTGGGTCTTTCAGGTGTGTCTTGGTTCTTGTTGGGTCTTTCAGGTGTGTCTTGGTTCTTGCTGGGTCCTTCAGGTGTGTCTTGGTTCTTGCTGGGTCTTTGAGGTGAGTCTTGGTTCTTGTTGGGTCTTTGAGGTGAGTCTTGGTTCTTGTTGGGTCTTTGAGGTGAGTCTTGGTCCTTGTTGGGTCTTTCAGGTGTGTCTTGGTTCTTGTTGGGTCTTTGAGGTGAGTCTTGGTCCTTGTTGGGTCTTTCAGGTGTGTCTTGGTTCTTGTTGGGTCTTTCAGGTGTGTCTTGGTTCTTGTTGGGTCTTTCAGGTGTGTCTTGGTTCTTGTTGGGTCTTTCAGGTGTGTCTTGGTTCTTGTTGGGTCTTTCAGGTGTGTCTTGGTTCTTGTTGGGTCTTTCAGGTGTGTCTTGGTTCTTGTTGGGACTTTCAGGTGTGTCTTGGTTCTTGTTGGGTCTTTCAGGTGTGTCTTGGTTCTTGTTGGGTCTTTCAGGTGTGTCTTGGTTCTTGTTGGGTCTTTCAGGTGTGTCTTGGTTCTTGTTGGGACTTTCAGGTGTGTCTTGGTTCTTGTTGGGTCTTTCAGGTGTGTCTTGGTTCTTGTTGGGTCTTTCAGGTGTGTCTTGGTTCTTGTTGGGTCTTTCAGGTGTGTCTTGGTTCTTGCTGGGTCCTTCAGGTGTGTCTTGGTTCTTGCTGGGTCTTTGAGGTGAGTCTTGGTTCTTGTTGGGTCTGATTTTTCTTTGACATTTTGAGGGTAGCAGGCACACTGAAGGAGGCTTTTGGAATTCATAATTTATAAAATAAAATAATCATCATAATAAACAAAAAAATCTTGCTACAATATGTTTGTTGACTACAACTTGAGACAAAAACACCCAATGTACTGAAGCTTAAAACGTATAAATACATTTGATATAGGGTTAACCCTAACCCATATATTTATATGGGTTTGGGTTAACCCTAATATTTATATTTATGTGTATGTGTGTGTGTGTGCATGTGTCTGTGTTAGAAAAAATAGGTTACCCTGCTTAATGCTTTTTGCCTTGGAGATGAAACTGTAAGTATAATTTCTTTAAATTGTATATTTTTTTTCATTGTGGCTTTTCAACGGCTGTGCTAAATCTTCTACAACTCACTACACTGACACCCAAAGGCACAAAGCATTAAGTTTAACCTTTGATCTACAGAATGAACCCTGCATGGATCAACCTGTTTACATTCTATCAACATCTTTGAATGACTAAACATTTGACAAACATCATCCACACATATACCTATAAACATATACCTATTTTAACAATATTACAATCATTTTCTTGTGATTTTTTATGCAACTTGGTTGCATAAAAAAAGTATAAAGTATATCTATTTTTTCAATAACATTTATAATCTTTTATAATTATCTGCCTTCAGAAAATCATAGAAATATATGCTGAAAGCTAAATATCTGGAAACATGAAGATATATGTACACTTAAAAATGTATCCATTAACATGTGTATTATGCAAGAACAATCTCAGCACCTTCTTACCAGATCCATGCAGAGTTCATTTAACAGATGCTCATATTCATACACTGTAGAAAGGAGTACTATAGGTAGATGCCTAACGGAATGTAAGGCCTTTTTCTGTCTTTTAACATACAATACAAGACAATTCCAAATAAACCATAGTGTGTTGTGGCATGATTGGATAACATGATTTCATTAGGGAGGTATTACCTCTTAAACTGATTTAAAAATTAGCGCTATCACAAATATGTTGGTAATGAATAATTCAAGCTATAATTTTTATTGATGAATCACCTGATTGTTAATAATTGTTAAAACCCTACTGATAAAAATAGATTAGGTGTAACACTACATAATATGAGCATCTGTTGTATGGTGAGCCCCTACAAGCATGACCCTCCCAAACAAACCACCGCTGCTTGTAGGGGCTCACCTTCAAAACAATATGACAATATCATTTAGAAATGATATCACCATATCATTTCCTCATCCTATACTTCAAATACTTTCTTTCAATACTTCAAAAATATACTAGAATCCTTCAATTGACATAATCTCCATAATACAACTTTGTTTTCAGAAATTACATTTGAGCACATATTGAATCATTCATTCACTTCTCTCATATGTCTACCTCACTATTCATAGTATAGTCATGTATTACAGAAATGGACACACTACAATATCTATACACAGTGGTAGCTATAATCCGAAAATCCTTCATTTTTAAGACCAGCAAAGTTTTTCATACCTGACAGTTTCCCCTGCTGGCGGACGTGCACCGGTTCTCTCTGCTGTTTTACCACAAACGGTGGTGTGACAAAACCACTGTTTGCAGTCGGGTTGTGTTTGAGCAGGAAGATCCCCCCTTTAGGATTAAAACCCTGGAGGCACACTGGTGCTGTGCACCAGCAGTTACTACTGTCCAATAAAAAAAAAAATACTCCACTGGTCTGGAAGTTATGGAAACAAATTCATCCTTGTTTGTAGCTTAGTTTCAAAGTGGAAAAAATAAAGACAAAAGTTAAAGAATGTGTTGTATTCAAGTGATAGACATAACACAAAAGACAGGACAGTGATAACTATAATAGGCCTGTAACACACCTGAATGGAGACATGATTGCGGGTTAGAAACGTAGATGACATCAAGCAGCGTCTGTCTGTCAGTTGTGGCAGAAGAGATCAGTTGTCCGTAGCCTTTGGACTGGAAAACCTCCATGATTGGCTTCTTTCCATAGTATAGAAGATTTTCGTTCAAATCTCCGCAGACAATGATTGTCCGTGTGTCCAACATCTCTAGACACTCCAAAAGTGCAGTTAGATTTTGCAGAAAGGGCTTCACGTTGTATGTAGGAGGCCTGTAAATCGTCACAATTAGTGCAGTGAAAGGAGACTCAACCTGAACAACAACAAACTCAAGATCAGTAACATTATGTACATAACGGATTTCATGAGCAACAATATGGTTCTTTACGTAGATTGCAACTCCACCACCGTCTTTGCTGGCCATATCACTGAAGTTTGTATAAGACACGTGTCTGCTGCGTTCATACATTGTGTAACCTTCTAAATGAAGTGCAGGAGCCACAAAACACTGGAGTCTGGTCTCTGTGAAACACAAAACATCTGAAAGACGCAGTTCATGATGAGCTTGTATATCTTGGATGTGGGAGGGTAGACCCTGAGTGTTGTGGTGGATCACAGAAAATGTGCTGCTTTTGTCCAATGTCTGTGAAATAAGATAAAAAGGCATGATGTGCTCCAAGTTGGCTTTCCTCATTTTATCAAGAGCATCAGTGATTCCTGGATTTGCATAGAGATTTGTCTCATCCATGTCAATAATGTGTAATCCACTGAGTGAGGTGACTCTGCTCACAGCGACGTAGCCCATTCCAGCCTGAAATATCTGCTTAAAAGAAACCACAGCTGATGATGTTGTCATACCTTGCACCTTGTGGATTGTACAGGCGAAAGCAAGCTTAATGGGAAACTGTCTTCTGACCATACCTTTTTTCTTAGTTATATTTTCTTCCAATCTCACCAGATACACCAAATGATCAGATCCCGATCTCCTTGGGTTTTTGTTGTCAAGGTCAAGTCCCAACTTCAGAACATGTGTCGGATTTGAAGGTGAATACACCACTCTGGTTAAATTAGCAAAAGCTCCATTCACTAAGCCTTGGCTGAGGTCAATATTTCTGGTCAACATAACACGAGCACCTATTGCCAGTTCTAATTTAGCTGCAAGTCCGTTGAAATCCTCCTTATATGGTTTGGCTTGAAGTTCCATAGTGCCAGTCCGTGCATCTTTTTTGTAATCATCAGCAGATATTCTAACTATGTCCTTGTACAACAACGCTAATGTTTTAGTGTTGTGAAGCTTTACAAACCTATTTGTAGCAAAGATATGCAGCACATCAGTCGGACATTTCTCTGGTTCAATAACAGCCTGTAAGAGTAACTTTCTGTCATCCTCAGACAAGTCGTCTGTTATGGTCTTCACTCTGATGCGATTCAACGTTTCAGCAAATGCTTTGTCATCCTTTTGTCTCATGATCTCAGTCAGAACAATCATCTGGAAGTTGTCATTCCACAAATCAATGTTATTTGCTTCAAAGACACAGAGAGGCTTAGAATGGATGGGCGGAAGCTGATAGAAATCACCAACTGCAAGAACTGACATTCCTCCAAAAGCTTTGTTGGTTCCTTTGATTTGCTGCAGGCGAAAGTTCACATATGCAAAAAGCTCCTTTGACACCATGGATATCTCATCAATGATTAGGATCTCAGCATTCATAAGCTCCGCTCTTACTTCATCAAGTTTGTTACCAAGTCCTTGGTATGGTGGTTTTAAACTTCGGGGCAGTTTCAGAAGTGTGTGAAGCGTTGTACCACAGATGTTAAAAGCTGCAGTTCCAGTAAAAGCTGACAACAGGACAGTGGGCTTCGATGGATCAGACTCAAATGCATTTCGCTCCATTTTGCTCAAGATTTCTGAGGCTTCTGCATAGATGCATTTAATAAGATGGGATTTTCCAGTTCCTGCTCCACCATTTATGTAATAACAGAATGGCTCTGTGTTTACGTTGTCAACTTTCTTAATGCACCAGTTTCTCACATCATGAAATGTTGAGGCTTGCATCTGATTCAGACTTTGATAGAGCAATTGTCTTTGAGATGGCTCTATTTTAGGAGGTTCCATCAAGAATGTCACATCTGTTGCAATGTTCAGCTGACGGACTAGATCTGGGTCGTTCTCTTGCACGTCATCATCATCAGGTCTGTTCTGTATTTCCTCGAGACACTCAAGTCTTTCTCTTTCACTTTCAGGTGCCAGCTCACACCATGCATCGATCAGTCCTGCCTTTTCCTCTTGTTCTTTTAAAGCCAGTTCGATACTCTTCCCATGCTTTTCATACTTTTTTCGGTTTTCATTCACAATGTCTCTGACTGGGAAGATTTCATTTGAAAAGGGCAACCTCACAAAGGCACCTTCATAAAAAGATTGGAAAGTTGGAAATGCAGGAGTTTTCAGTTGGAATTCTCCACGATGAGGCAAATATAGAGTCAATAGGTTACAGTGAAACTGCTCAGGATTCTTCTCTGGTGAGTAGCGGTAATATCTGATGATAGCATTTTTGTCTGTGCATGTTCGTTTCTTTACATACCCCATATCATTCAGTAGAGGTAGGACATTTTTTCTGTTTTTCTCATCACCATAAACCACTCTGCAAGTTGAACCAAAATCAGCATAACACATTTCCTCAAATTCTTGTGTTTCAGGTCGTGATCTGTATTTATCCAAAAGACTTGCCATCCAGATATCGTCTCCATCTGCTTTTTCAAGTTCAGCCATGGGTCGGCTCATTTTGACACTCGAGTCGGTGGGCAAAAAGATGACGACTCGAGAACATTGTTTCAAACGTAGTCCACAGACTCTGGCTGTACATTCCTGTGCACTCACTTCTCTCTTTTTGGAATACGCCTGCATGACTTCTTTCATTTCATCACTTTCATTGAGCTTGTTTTGGTCCATGTTTTTAATGACACTGTGGAGATGGTCACTCATTTCAGACTCTGCCTTTGTCATATATCCACAGATGTATTGCAGGCATGCATACACACTCAAAATCACCTGTACATCAATGTTAGCTCTCCAAGCTTTCAGCAGTTTTACATTGTGCGGATTCACTCTGCAGTCCTTGGGCTCACGTTCATAGATGACTTTATTGGACCTTGACATGCCATGCAAACAATGTTCATATTCCTCCTTGCTCAGATCACAATGGGTCAACAGCTCCTCTGTTCTTTTACCACACCACTCTTGATCTTCCAGTAAAGCTTTAAGAGACTGGAATTTTTTCCGTGACTCCTTAGAGAGGTTCTCACACATTTCAGGCTTTGTGATTATGGTCTTATCCAAAGGCAATTGTGGAAAACCAAATCTGCAGGTTTTGTTGTTCTTTTGGCATGTCTTTGTGTGATTTCTGCTGTGCATTTGAACTTCAGACACCAGTTTATACAGCTCAGGGTCATCGTTTGCATCAGGAAGTTTCACTGAAATGTATTTGTTTACCAAGTCAATAATTTTCTGCTCATCATCCTCCATGTCTATCTTCTCAGAAGTAAACAACAAGGCATGTATATGTGGGCTGCCTCTACTTTGGAATTCTACTCGTAGAAAATAGTCGGTTACATCTCCTAGAGGCTTAGCAGGTGAGTTGATCAAATACTTGAATAAACCCTCTACACGCTTATCAAACATTCTCATTGTTGTGACAGGGTTAGTTCTAAGAATTTCACACTTTGTGTCCCAGTCCAGCTCATGAAAGTTCACTTTCTCACCTTGTTGTGCTTTAATTGCTTCAATAAACTCAGGCCAGTGGCTTAGTTCTGCTGCTGAGAATGATACAAAGAAAGTGGGACAGCCGATTTGTCGAATCATCGCGTACAAATCCAATAGCGTTTTATGCCAGTAACTTGGCGTTCCTCTTAATGTTGTCATAAATCGAAGTGCATCTTTATTTCTGACCAGCTTTTCAACTTCTGTCTTGTCTTTCAGCATTGAAGCAGTTATCTTCCGCCCATCTCTTGTCATTGGCTTAGTTTTTCGTAACTGAATGGTCATTTTCGATCGTGCTAAATGTATTTCGGTCACGTACTGGGCCATGAACAAGTATGTTGTATCTCTGGCAAATCTATTATCCACTGAAAACAGTCTGGATTTGAAATACTGACTTGGTGTTAGTTTTATTTGTCTTTTTGCATCAAATGTATTGATACCAGTAGGAAACTGTACAGGAAAAGCTTTTGCTTCAAGGTTCGGTATTTTAAAGAAACTAACTGGATTATTCTTTTCTGCAGGTGCGATGCAGTACACAGAGTCTGTATGACACAACACTTCATCTGAAACATCCAGGGGCTGAAGACATGATTCAAATGTTACACCACCACATTGTTTCTCATCCTGCTTCTGCAGCGGTTCATCATTGTAGTCTCTCTGAGGCTCTGATTCCATCTCATCCTCTCTGTTTTTAACATTATGTGACTCATTTTCCATTTCACTAACTGTATCCGACTCAGAATTCATTTCAGCGTCATCATGTTCATTTGGTTCATTATTACACAAAACATTTGTCTCAAAATCATAGATTTCCATTAAATCTGCTTCATTATAATCCTCCTCATTCATCTCATCCTCACTGTCGCTGCAGTTTTGCATTGTAGGGTCACACAAAGCCTGGTCATAATTGATAACAACATCTTGATAATCAGGGTGTATTTGCTTCAGTTTCTCCAGGGCTTTAATCACTCGTGGCCAGTTTACAGTCTGAGAAATACAATGACCTTTATACGAAAGGTTTCTCTTTAATTTAACTCTTATTGTCTGAGACTGGTCAGCATTTCTGGGCAAAGAGTTCACTGTGTCACTTATCTCTGAAGGTACAAGTATTACATTTCCAAATATAGAATTTTGTTTTCCTTTAGGCAGAGTCATGACCTTTTGAAAAGAAATTACTTTTTTGATTAAATGTGCCTCCATGATATTCAAACAAGACAACTCAGGGGGAATTACTGTCAACTCCAGGTTGTTAGCATTAGCGAGAGGAGGCATTCGTCCCTTTTTCAAATAGTTATGGCAAGTGTGACAAATCCACTCAGACTTTCTCTCATCAGGGACTTTACATGATCGTGCAATACACTCATCGCTGCAAACGTGGACATATTGGCCTGTTAGACATTTGATGACCACTAGGAGGCTCTTATCATACACTTGTCTTCTGCAAGGTTTTA